CGTAAGAGGAGCATCAGATCTTCTACTTCAGCAAAGAACATTACAGAAGAAACGGGCTAGCCATTGTTATTGACAAAAAAGTGTCAGTGCTTGAATGCAACGAGAGAATGATCTTAATTTGAGTCCAAACCAAATATACAGCGATCCAAGTCTATGTTGCCATCACAGATGCAGAGGAAGCGGAAGGTGAACAGTTCTGTGGTGACTTGGAACACTTTTTTGACATAAAATGTCAAATGAATTAAAGGATAGTGAAATGCTAAAGTTAGACATAAAATGATATCTGGAATAACAGGAATTTTGGCCTCATGCAAAACAAGGGAGAAGACAAAATTCATCCAAGGAATTCAATGCTTGTAGCCAATATCTTCTTCCAACAACCTAAAGGATGATTCTACAGCACTGAAATCAAGGTGACTGTATGCTCTTCCAGCAAAGATGGAGAAGCTGTATTCAGTCAGCAAAAACAAGGCTTGGTACTGACTGCAGCTCAGATCGTGATGGTGGGCATATACAGAAGAAACATCCCCCAAATCTATGGTATCTAAGATTTGATCTCTAAACTAGGCCCAGACATTCTGGAAAGGTGGGTTAAATAGGTCTAGAGAATATTGCTGAGAGTAGAGCTGTAGGGGATGATGAATTATCAGCCAAACTCTTTCAAATCTTGCAACGTAATGTGGTTAAACCGTTGTTTGTAGTTTGTAAGCAATTGTGCAGTGGTCAAGGGACTGGAAAAAATCCATTTATATTCCCATATGAAAAGGGGGCAGTGCTAAGGAATGAGTGGCATTTATCTCACATCCTGGTGATGTACTGTAATGCTCAAGATTTTGAAATCCACAGTAGATGGAAGCAGAACTGCCTGAAGTGCAAGCTGGATTCTGAAAAAGCAGAGACACCTAACACCATATTGCTGCTACCCAAAGAGTAATAGAAAAGACAAAGCTGAAGGCAGTCAAAAAAGGGTGATCGAAAACAAGGCGGCTGGATATTCTCACTGATGAGACAGGCTGGAGATCGCAAGAATTCAAAGAAACAGGTCGTGACAGTCCTGGAGAAACGATGTCACGAAGATTGGAAGTGACTGAGCAACCATCTCTCTTTCTCTGAGCTTTCTCCTTCGGTTTCTGTTCCATCTCATTTTTAAATCGCCTGTTGGTTCTTTGAACTGAGCAACTGCAGTGTGTTGATCTCCAGCGTGGTCTTCGCTTGCGGGAAGGTTTCTGTGCTCTACTACAGAGGTCCTGGGGATTTGGAGTGGGTGCTTGCAGCCTGTTGCTTTCCTTGGAAATGGGTCTGCCTGCCCAAAGAAAAGACAGGAGTTAAGACTGGGGGCTTGACTTGCTTGTGATAACCGGGGGGGGGGGATGCTTTTCTTGCAAGGATTGGATGCGAGTGGGGGCTCAAGGACCCTTCGAGAGGCTTCACCTTTGCGCTGGCAGCAGCAGATGTCGGCCTGTCTATGTCTCCAGGTTGCGTCGGGTGCTCCATGGGCCACCTTTGAAAGTCATCCAGCACAGACCGCAGCTGCGGCGGCAGAGTCATAGGGCCAAACCAGACTCCGCAGCATCGCATAAAGGCTGGGTTTGGCCTTTGCATTCCTGAACCCCCTGAAATAAGGGGGGGAAGGGTCACCTTTGCCACCCCTTCTCCTTGCTACTATTTCACCCTCTTTCCTTTTCCAAGGAAATCAATGCCACGCTGCTTCCGTTTTTCATTTCTTCTTACAAGAGTCTTGCATGGATGGTAGGAATGAGGGAGGGAGGTGGGTGTGAGGTGCCCCAGTGAGCCTCATGGCTGCATCTCTCGCTGCACAGCCACATGGTCTCCAGAATCTGGCACTGGGGTTCTTGGGGAGCCATCTTTGGAGAGAGCGAACCCTGTGCCTCCCACGCCCTTCTCCAATTGCTGGCCTCTCTGAACCTTTGGTGACCGCGTCATGCACTTGCCCTGAACTGATTCCAGAGGGAGAGGAAGGAACAGAACACTTATTTGCTTGGGAGTGGCTCAGGGAGGAGGACGTTCTGCCTGGGACAGGGATCCTGCTGCTGGCGACGTTGGCTTCTGCGCGTGGATGCCGAGCGGGGCTTTGGTGAGGAAGCGCAGGTGTCCCTGACTTCTGTTCCCTTCCCCAGGTTCTTTGGGAATCGCTCCTTCTGCCACGAGAAGCTGCAGCGCCATCCAGAGGCCCTGTGTGATGCCCAGCACGCGCTCAGCCTGCACCCGGGCTGGCCCAAAGGCCTCTTTCGCCAGGGCAAGGCTCTCATGGGCCTCAAGGTACTGGCTGGAGGGGCAGAGCCAGGAGGGCTGGGAGGACTCTGGCCTCGGGGAGCTCTGTGCGTGCTGATACCTGATACCTGCCTGTTCCCAGCGATACACGGATGCTGCAAGGACGTTCCAGGAGCTCCTCCAGTTGGACGACTTCCGGGGTGATGCAGCTGTCCAGCTACAGAAGTGCCAGATTCAGTATTTGCTGGTGAGCCACGGAGAGAGCAGGCCTGTCTTTGGAGGCTGGGGGGGCAAGGGGCGTCCTTTCGTATCTTGAGTCTGGGCTTAAGCTAGGTCATTCTGGTTGCGGCCTTGTCTGGTGGTTTGCCTAGAGCAGGGAGACATCTGGGCAGTGAAACTGTTTGCTTGGCTTCAGTGGGAGGGAAATAGTTGGCAAAGGCAAGAATTTGAGGAAAGGAGGCACTGAGTGGGCAAGCTGTCGTCCCCCAGCAAGTGGATTTCTGCAGCTGTTCCCTTTGGCAGGGCAAATACTTCTGCAGCCCGGTGGTGAGAGCCATATTTGGGTTGCCACTATATTTCGGTGAGCTCCCTTCCATGTCCTCTGAGGGGGCACTGCTGGTTCCCCCTTGGCTGGCTGACCTCTTAGTTGCACTGGTTCTTCTCCTTCCTTTCTGTCCTCCTTCAGTGCCATCTCCGTGATGGTCTGTGGGAAAGGGCACGTATCACTGAGGCGGAGGTTTCATTTTCTTGGCCTGAGGAACAGGCCATAATTGCTGGATCTCCGCCCTACCTAAGAAAGATGCACCAGGCTTCCCACGGCCTGTGAATCCAACTTGCTGAGTTTGTGCAACCCTTTCAACGCGAGTGTCCGGCTTCATCTAACATCCAAACTGTCAAATCCTATTGTAACAGCCTAAGAGAACAGCTGGCTTCTCCAGGATATTGAGGTAGGAGCACCCAGCCCCATTTTAGCATATTTAGGCTGAAGCGGTTGGTCAATTCCATAAATAAATACCCTTTACCGCCTTGTGGGGATGAGCCGGTGAGTGGAACAGCTGAGCAGGGATGTGCTCAGCCCCACATTCGCCTGGTCCCCTTCCTTTGTCAGGAGAACCAACTGGGCTCCTCCCGTCCCGACCGGAACGTTCTGCCTCTGGAAACCCAGCTGCCCCTGTCTGGTAAGAGGTGGGGGGCAGGAGGTCAGCACTCAGTCAGTGCTAAGCCTTCTTGATGATGGGGCTAGTGGCGGGGGATGGCTGCCTGGGTGTGTACGAACGAGAGACCAAGCAGTCACTGCCTCTCACCTGTCGCTCTCTTTTCTCCCTCCCGGCAAAGGAAAGCAGCCAGGGGGGCAGCAGTGCCCAGGCAGCAGCGCCCAGGCTGTTGCCACCACCCTGCTGGCACCTTCAGCACCAAAGGCCCCGGTCAGGTGAGGAGCAGGAAGCACCTGCGTCGGGGGGGGGGGGAAAATAGAGGCGGCAGTGGGGGGGGGGGGGGGGAATATCTTGCCAGAACGTTTGGGTTTCTCTCCGC